CTGTAGCTGAATTACCTAATGGTGGGGCGTGGCACGAGTAAGAGGTGATAGCGTAACAGTCGTGCTACACAAGGTCATCATCGTAGCATATACTGTGGTTACGGGTAGCTTACGCCGCTACTTAATGTGGAACACTACTATACAAGACGAAATTCATTCTGCTTCAAATCGTCTAGTCTCTGAAATAGTCTTCTACATCACGGTTCCGATGGAGACGGGCCAACATTTCTAGCAGTCCCGGGTAGGTTCAGGGCATCCAACACAGCGTCAAGAACCAGGCATGTTTAATGTTTCTCTCACACAACAGATATATGATCCATTGGAGTGGCATAAAGATATTTCAGTAAACATGGGCATTTCTAGAATGTATGCAATGCCACGTGTACGAGACTTCCACGTCGCCGGGTTGGCTACCGGATCGAGTCAAGCGCGGACGGCATACCAGGAGTAAGGGTTAGGGTTCCTCTGTCGTTATCGACTGCAAGTCTGCAACCAGACCTGAGGATTATTAGCACAAAGGCTGTTGACGTAAGAGACAGGCGGCCGGGTACCGACTTGGCATAGTTACCATTTTTTCATTTTTAACTTTGCGGTGAGCACATTGCTACCATACACCTCTTTCAACATTAGTCAAGGTTCTCAACTCTTCGGCTGAGCCGTTGGCGGCCTCACGTGGGTCCATTGTGTCTGGTTCAACACCCAGCGCCAAGTTGTGCGACTTGAATCAATGGACCGGACCCCCTTTGTGCAAGGCGAGGACTGGACCCCTGGACCCCTGGACCCTTGGATCCTTGGGACTTGGGAGCAGTTGGCCCGGCATCTGCGATTCCCATTTATCAAAGACACGTACATACTCCGTACCGAGCAGCCGAGTACGATTCGACCCCAGCCATTCATTTGTCTCCGCTTCAGTGCACCACAGTGACCTCACCTCCCCTTGCTTGTTTGCCATGACTTCAGAGGCCGCACCCAACGAGGGAGAGGAGGAGCGCATGCGAGACAAGGTGGGAGACTTTCTGTACGTGTATTGAGTTGTCATTGATGCTTTGATGAGTTGACATACGTAGCGGAGAATTCTAACCGCATAAACTGCGCGAAATCAGGAAGAAAAACCTCGCTCAAGGGGAACTTGCTGTGAAGCATGCCATCGGACTTGGTAAACAGCCCAATATCGTGCCCGTCACCGATCCGGTGCTTGACGGACCATCACGGCCCGTCGAGGTCGGATGGCACCCCGTGGGCGGTCTGGCCGGCAAGTGGTTTGCCGAGCAGACAGGTCTCGGAAAGATGATCACCGACAAGATCAACAAGTATCCGGATCCGACCCAGCATTGGGCCGTGCTTGTGGGCGAGTATGCTCACCAGTTATGGATGGTATGTCTGCGTCGACCCGAAAACAAGCCTTTGCCAGGATCCCCAAACCAACTAGATGAACCCGCAGGATGAGAATTTCGACGTCATTTACACCAACGAGAAGGTCAAGCGCGAGGAGTGGCGCACATTTCAAGTGGGCGAAACGCGCTTCAACGATGACGCTACACGACGGGCTGGTATGTTTGTCTACCCTGCCCCCCCGTGATGAAAAAATAAACCAACTAGGTGGAAAAAGGCGAGTCCGTCATCGAGGCTATTAGAGAAAGGCAACCGGGGTACAACCTCATCACCAACAATTGCCAGACATATGCCCTGCAGCTCCTTGATGCCATCAAAGTCGGCTCAAGGAAGGAATTCGGCACAACCTTGGCCGTGTACGAGAGACTAATTGGCCCCGGACGTGTCAAGGATTTGTTCATTGACGGCCAGCCTGCGGTCGGCGAAGCTCCCCAGGAGAACACAGTCTCCACGGCACAGCAGCTCATGCACGACCACACGACACAGCTTGATGCCCAGGAGCAGTTGCAGAAAGACGGGAGCGCAGGCCATCAAGACGGAGCAAGAGGCCTGGATCAAGACCAAGGCGAGAAGAGGCCCAAGAAGCGCCACCTTTTTTCACGTCTGTTCAGGTAGGCCGCTCTTATCTCACGGCGGCCAGTGTACTTTGTTGACATGAGCGAGAGCAATGAATGAACGTTGGGAAATGATGTTACGCGTATGGTACAGGGTGGGGATGTGCAGGCATATCGGATATGTTTTAGCAAAGTTAGTATAGCAAAGTTAACCCTCTCAATACATCAGGTTCTACAGGCAGACGTCCCGTCCTGTAAACGCGTACGAGTGTGTGACTGGGCCCGGACCACGTTTCCGAGGGCGACACCCATAGCCTGCTTCAGATTTCCTCAACTTGATCTTAATGGACAGTGGTGATGTATTCTTGTGTAACGTACTACAGCGACGAATAATCACCAGTGTTGTGTCCGTTGTTCCCCGCGGATTCTGAGTAGCTAGGTAACTACTACAGCCATGTATATATGTGCCACGGAGAGGAAGCGTGGTTGAAATCCACCGTTCGCATTGCTACTAAGTAATGCACATGCCTTGTCGCAAGCGGGTGATCTGTATCGTCCAACTATCGTCCAACCCAAGCCGGAAATGTACGGCCTCAGGCCCTCGCGTCGCCTTTTACTTACAGTGGCTAGTAGCATCTGGTTCAAGGACGTGGACCAAACGGTTCTTCCTGACCTCCAACCATTGGGCCTCTGCCTGGCGGGGGGGCATGACCTTTGCCGTGTTGATCTTGTGTTTTGACAGGATGCTCAAACCTTCGGAGAGTTAGGTGCTCCGTGTTCTTCGTGCCAGTCTACGCCTGGAGACTTTTGACTGGGTGCAGGTGCAGGTGCTATTGGAACCCTCGCACCGGACTGAAGAAAAAGCCGCTTCGAGTAAATCGCGTCGTCAATTTCGTCACCGTCTGGGAAACAAAGCAGCGAAGAGAGGATCAACGCAATTGATGTTGACGATCGAGAGAAATTGTCGTTTATTGAGGCCTGGAATTGTCGTTTCAAGAAAATAATTGTACTTACATACCGGCCCGTAGACGGCAGATGCGGCGGGCTGATGGTGGATGGAGATGAGTTGACCCAAGAGGACAGCTGCGATTGTGCCTGTCTGCAACCACTCCATGATGCAAATCGAGAAAATGGCACAAGATGCCATATCGTCGGAGCCGATTCCGTGGACAGAATGCGCATCATTGCTGAAAGCCTCTGATACAAAGACTTGCGTACGAAAGGATCGGTAGAAATGGTTCAATTCAGAAAGCAAAGTTGGACCCCGCAATTTGGTCCATCAAAGCTCCAACTCCAACGTCAAGCTCAGCCTGGTTTCCCCACCACATTCCATCGCCAAATTGATTGACAACAACGTCAGCGGGACCAAAAAAAGAGAGAAATACCCTCTTCCAGCGCCCTCGTCAACTACGCACCATCCACCCGGACTGCCGCACCACGCACGCAATGTCGTCGAAAGAGCAACGACCGAAAGAAAAAGACAAGTCCAAGGTGCACAAGCTCTCGCTCAAGGGCAGCTCCAGACTGGTCGCCGAGTTTGTACGTCTCCCTCGCTCGCACAATTCGCTGCCTCCTCCCCGTCCTCAGAAAGCTGACGCTCCGCCGCTCCATGTAGTTTCAGTATTCGATACACTCGATTCTGTATGCTGATCCGCCCGCTCTTTGAACGCGATTCCTCTCCGACCAACCGACCGACCGTTGCGGCAAAACTAACCGCGTCTAGATTCCAACGAGGTGTCTACCCTGCCGAAGACTTCACAGCGTACGTGTGCCAACTTGCCTGTCACGAATCCACCGTCATTCGAGAGTACAACCGTGCTAATTTTCCCTTCTCCCGTCTCCAGCGTGAAGAAATATGGCCTCAACATGCTTGGTACGTAAAAGTGCCCCCCTCCCAATTTCCATTGCTGTCCGTCATCGTGGAAATTAACCGCGCACCGCATAGTCTCGGCCGACGATCAAGTCAAAGCATACATCAAGAAAATCATGAGCCAACTCGATAAATGGATGATAGGCGGCAAAATATCCAAGCTCGTCATTGTCATTACGGACAAGGACACTGGAGAGCATGTCGAGCGTTGGCAATTCGATGTAGGTCCTTGCGTCGGCCCCGCGGCACAAGACTTCCTTCACACCACCTGCCAGCCTCCCCTCCCTTGGAAGCCCATGGCTAACAACGAAATTGCATTTGACCAGGTTCAAATCTCACAACCAGCGGCAAAACCCAAGTCGAAATCAGGTCCCAAACCCACCGATCAGGAAAACGTTGCGCCGCCAGCAGCCGCAGCCGCCCCAGAAAAAACCGAAGCCGAGATTCAAGCCGAAATCGCCGCCATTTTTCGCCAGATTACAGCCTCTGTCACTTTCTTACCACAACTCAGCGGCGACTGCACGTTTAATGTACTCGTCTATGCTGATGCGGACAGTGACGTTCCCGTCGAATGGGGCGATTCGGATGCCAAGGAGATTGCCAACGGCGAACATGTCCAGCTCCGGGGGTTTAGTACGGCAAATCATCGTGTAGATACTCTCGTCAGCTACAGGTTGGGAGACTAGCATGTGAAATCAAATAGCAAGTGCATGGGAACCTGAATAAACGTGACATGACGCATGCCGACGGGTGGAGCGTAGTTGGGCCTGGGATATTGCGGGACAGCCTACCACATGGAGATGATATCAACGACAGCGTAATATATGAATGACTGACGCACCATGGTGTCAAGATGGCCACTCTAGCTCGGGACTTTTGCAAACTGCAAGAGGTGTCTGAATATACTTGTCTAGGAAAGGCCGAAACGTATCATAATATTAACTATGTCGCTTGATTTTGTTCAACATCTCACCTCACCCATCACTGTTTTTTACCCGCAACCGCCAAACCATGCATCAAATCACTCATCACCATAAATCTGACGATCCTATCCCCACTTACACCAGTCAATATGCTGCCAGCCCAGTTTCCTAAGGGCGAATCAATCACGTACAACGCCGTCTAGTTCTACAACCATTGTGCTGAAATTCTTCCGTCTTCACACCCTCTTAAAAAAATAGACGTACGCAAACTTGCGCATCTCATCAATATCGGTTGCTTCAACAACCTTCTCGTCATTGAAGAGCACCCAACTAGGAGCCTGGTGGCCCTCCAATTGTTTCCGGATGAAAGCCACGTAATGACTACGTATCCCATCTAGTTAGTACAGAGCGGAAAATATATGGAAATAAGCCGTCACGCAATGAAACTTACCCCGCGTGGATGCTTGTTCCCTTGTGGCACACGATGGATTGAAGCTGGAACTGTGCGGGAAGCGTAGCACGCCCAGCCGGCTCCTTAGGAGGAGCTGGCTCATTAGAACCGGCACCCTCCTCTTCAAAAATGCCTTGATCATCTGGATGGCTAAAGAGCCACTCAACAGCACGCTCCATATCACCACCAGTCTCCTTGAGTGCCCTCTTAGCCTGTGGAGCGCCGAAGCCCATGGCGCCGAGCATCTCGATCTTCTCGGGATCGGCCGTATCTCGAGGTCCTCCACCTTGGCCACCAGGATTTAGGGGGGCATCAATATCAGGATCCTCCATGTGACTAAAGAGCCACTCCATGGCTGCATTGGCATCCGAGTTCCCAGTAGCATGCAAGGCCTTCTCACAGCGATTGAGCGGGAATCCCATGCCTTCCAACTGAGCCAAGGCTGTGGCATCGGGCACAAAGGCGGGGGTCTGTGTCTCCGGCTCCTCTGGCAGTTGCTCTTCAGAGGGCTGCAAGCCCTTTGACAAGTATTCATCAAGTAAGAAGGGTTCATCGGGTACAAGAACTGGTACATCGACCTTGATTGGAACCCAATTAACTACCGTCATCTTCCGAGCATTCACAACCAGAATCTCAGGGAACGTCTTGAACAGTGATTGTTTGCTGAATCCATCGGTGCTTCCGCAAGCTGAGCATGTCAGTTCGACCTTTTCAGCCGCGGTCAAGTTTTCGAGACACTGCTTGAGTGTGACTGGCTTATACTGTTCGGCGGTATCTTCGACCCCTTCTACTGCAGGGATTTTCTCTAGGGGAACGTCAATGAAGATGCTGTCCTGCTCGTTGACAGTATATCGAACTTTGTTGCACCTTAGACACTGAAGCCTTTGTTCCAGGACGAATCTAAATGGCGCAGTTGGATCCTTGAGATGACCGGGGTGCTGTGATCTGGTAATGAGCTTGAAGAGATGTTGGAGGAGTTCAAATGCATCTTGTTGTCTCATGGTCGAAAATTCCGCATGACCACGTCCGATCAGGTGCTTCAACATTGCCGGTGCCAGGCCTTTTTGGTGATGGACCTGTGTTTCCGTGGACAGATCAGCATCAGGCTTAGAATAGCGTCCGGACCATAGGCCGTCTCCCATCTTTCGCAGTTGAGTCTCTAGGTCAGTCGCGGGGTCTTCAACAATCGGCAAATCATCGTTTGGTCGAAAGTAGCGATCGAAGAATGCTGGCATGTCAAACAGGCATTGAGTGATGCTTGCCAAATAGCAACTGTTACCCAAGTTCTTGAGCCCAGTTAGGCCAGGCCCGAACAGTGGCTTGAGCTCCTTCCCATCTTCCGTGGTCATGCTAAAGTCCCATTTGAGGTTTTGCTCGATTTGCATCTCCGTCAAACTTTTTTCCGTCTTTTGTCTTTCGGCTAGCCTGATCCCCCAATGAGCCAGGTGCTGGCCCAGGTTGTCGTCGATGCGTTCGTCGTCGCACTTGTAGCAGTAAATATCTGCGGTGCCTTCGGGTGTGATGGAACCCAGTTTCACAGCTACGCCGTGACCGGACTCTGTGGAATGAGCCAGTGCATGGGAGTTTCCATCCACTCCCCCCAATTGCCTGCGGCCGCAGCCCAGGTTGCCGCACTCTAGGCACAGCCAGAGATTTTCTCTCAAATCACAACCCGAGCAGTGACCGAGCTGGCCCTGTTCAATCTTGCGAGACTCATGCTGCTGCATAAGCAAGATATGCTCGCAACTCGTAAGCTCCTGTTCCCAGGCCTTCACCTCCTCCTTACGTGAAAAGGTGTTTGCTTTCATGACACCATCTACAACTGGTGCCAGCTTTTCGTCTGTAATATCGAGCTCGGTATTGCACTCGAGGCATTTTACAGCAAGGGAAGTGTCGTATCGATCTTCTTCGGACTCGGCAGCGATGGCCAGTTTGGAGATTTTGGGGGGAGGTTCGTCTCGAACGACAATTTTTCGGGTTCGGCGGATGTTTAGCGACAGAGGATGACTTCGGATGGCGCTGTGAAGTTTTGAATGCAAGCGGTCACCGGCACAGCCGCCGTTGAAACACTGAAGGCAGACATCGAGGCCGGTTGGTTCATCCTACCGGGAACAGTGATTAGGATAAGATGACCCTCACCGAACACGACTCAGCTGGGACGGGTAGAAGGACCACACAAACATACTATTGAGTCAAAGCACTGGGTACAGTCTTCTCGATACACAGACTGCGCAGGAGTCGGAGGAGTTAGTGCTGCAGAGGACACAGGTCAGTCTCGTAAGTTGGCGAATGCCCATGCAAGACACAAGTGAGTGCATGGAGAGAGTAGAAAACCTACCAAGAGACTCGAGATGTGGGCAAGACATGATGATGATACAGGCTCATGCGAGCCAGGGAAGCAAGAGGGCTAAGAAGGAGCTGTGTGCGGGCCAAGCCAAACGACTGCTATTGAGAAGCAGCAGGATGAAAAGTCGAGTCACCGAGATAACAACAGACGGTGATGATGCAGCAACACGGAATGGAAAACATTGAGCAGGCAGAGAGAGCTGTCACTGGGTCAGGGTGGGGCTTAATGACGGAGGAGGGGCAGCATTGGGTTAAGCCGGGTTAGGGTTGGAGCGCAGATATCAGGTCAACGTTGAAATTGAGGCTTCAAGGTCGACACGAATCAAGTCACTAACTAGCTATTCAATACACTCCAACTGTCATTATTGATGTGAAGTTTTATCAGGACTTTGATATACAGGCTTCATGGTTTTTCGAGTCGTACCAGACGATTTATCCCGGATGCGGGCGGACGGAAAGGGCCGCGGGATGACAATAGCCAGATTTCCGTATGGTCAGGAAGCCAGCGTGTCTGGTGTTTTGTACTCTTGCTGGTATTTGGGACGTTTGAAATGATTCTGCGCCACAAATGCAATGATTGTCAAACAAAAATAAATGATGCTATGATTGGCTTTATGAGACCCCGAACCATGCGACCGGCTACGCAAGTGCTCTATTACCAAGATTCCAGGGATATTCGACTTTATCTTTGTGGCCGCGCCTAGAAGATTGGTTGTAACAGCGGACATTGAAATGGCCCGTCATGACGGCTGCATGTTTGCATACCGAATATAGCAAGTCATGAGGGCCAGCGAGGAAAAGACTGTCTTTTTTACCCTTTGCATACGCATCAACATGCTCTGATAACTGCCCTTTCACTTCATTTAGGAATGCGTTGATAGCAGAAACTGCGAAGCCGTCCCCATATATCTAGGGAAGTAATGGTAGGATGTCGCTTAGCTGAATCCAGACAGCTGGGCAATCCTTCCGACCCTACAGATAATAAAGTCAAGGACAGCTACCGACGTTGCTAGAAGTATCTTATCTGCTAGAGATGCAAGCAATTGAAGGCAGATGGTGGCGATTTTTGTCTATCTTCCCTATGCGAATGCTATCTAAAGGATGCGAAAACCTCTGCGGGGACCATAGGCCAAGCAGCAATATCTTGTCTCAGATACTTATATGCAAAATGAAGAAAAAAAAAAAAACCCCAACGGAGGAGTATCGATATACTAGATAGTAGAATGTACAATATGTATAAGCATTCACTGGAAATATATACAAGACCGGGACTGCAAGTTTGTATAAATTATTTCGCAAGTTATATATAAGAAGATCGGAGGAGCCCCCAAAACTGCATTTGCCTCGATCACTCCCTCAGCTATTGGACGTTCTCTTTACTGTAAGGTCCAAGCTGTGACACGGCGTTATAAATGGCTGCAGCATGGGGTATAGAACGTGTCGACTAACAGCTTCAGGAAGACTGCCCGTTCTCAATTTTAACTTGCTCGGGAGTCTTGTCCATGGGTATATTGTTGACGTATTTAAGATTGTGGTTGTTCTTGGTGTACGCATTGGCCGCGCGAGCTTCGGGCTTCTGCCGTTCACCAGCGATGGCCAGACCAAACGAGGCGAAGATGAAGAAAATGTTGGCCTTCATTTTCTCAGTTTGCGTATGTTGGATATTGGCTTATTCTTTTCGATGTATAGTGGAGATGTTTGGCTTGCCCTTGAAATCTGCAGGCAGAATCCCTATTTATTCTTGCGGAATGATGTCACTTGGGGCACATGTATTTGCGGCAACAGCTTTCTTCCAGCTCTCAACACGTATTGATTGTAACCAACCAGCTTCCACACTGGTATAAGCGTCCAAGGGAAGGCTTGCCAATATGTAGGCGACGAAGAATGGGGCCGAGATTTGGCCCGATGGGATCTCGTGGACCACCAGCAGCAGATGGGACCAATCGTTTTGTGTGTTAATTTTGATTCACATTGAAGCAAGAACAGTTCGCCGAGAGGAATCTTGCTTGTCCGTCAGCTCAGGGCACAACTTGGCTCGTGGTTAGTTACTTGACTTGACAGCAACCCCATACACGTTCTGCTGTAGGATTCACGTGGAGCCACACCAGCATTTTGTTTTTCTCAATTGGGCTGAATTATTGTCAAGAGGATGCCAGGCTCTTAGCTACTCATTGGGTGACACAGCGGCTGCAGCACATAAGCTAGCACAAGCCCAACGCCCTTTGATCCGTCTGACCATGGTCAAGTTGGTTTCCACATATACCAGGACATTTCTGGCTGAGATCGGGGAGTACAAAAGTGCACCGGACACACACCAACCCAATATTGTGCTTGTTCGGGGATCTTTCTTGACAAGTGCTTCCTGCATTGCGTTTGGGTACTCGGTCAACTCGGTGTTCATAGAACAAGAAAGCTCAAGCGGGTTTGTGCAATACTGTTAGGCGATGGTGCTGTACAGTATTTTCTCCACCAGAGAACATTGAAATATTGATCTTTGACTCGTGCCGTGCTCGACTTCCGACTACATACTAGGTAGGTATGTAACTTATCTGATACAAGTTGGGCGAAATGCTGCACTGCATCGGCGACGGACCAACCTCTTCGCCAGACTACGACCACCTTGTCCTTGTCTTGATATCCCCCAAGTGCCAGATTACTCCACATGCATCGCTACTGGCTCCCCGCATTTTTGATGATTGTCTGGTGTCTCAAGGTGGCATTGTTGAAAATCGATGCCGAAATTGCTGCCACCTCCGCACCAGGACCCGTCCCCAGCATTGTCAATACAACTAATCTAGATGCGGCCAAGGCGCCTTCCTCTGGCTCGGCCAGGTTCAGGGCTGAACTCGAAACCCAGGCATTGTCCGTCATTTGCTTTCTCTCTCGCCCTCTAATGGCCGACACGCAGAGACAGATGTATCGTCGGTTGACTGCCAAGATCACACGCCCAGTCCTCGTGTACCTGACATTTGATAGTCTTGTCCAAGCCCAAGTTTCTGCATTCGCACCTCAAAGTTCGAAACCGTAACGAGTTCGAGTTATCCATCAGCAACCACAACTGCGCCTTCATCAGCATGCCATTCACCGCCGCCGACACCTTTACGTCAGCCAAGGATACAGATAACTACGATATTGAACATAGTCATAATGACCATGTCAGCGGTGAAGCGGGACCATCCCGCGCCTTGGGGATTGACCAGACGCGCGACATCACCGAGGCGGAGCATGAGTTGGGCTTTTGGCAAGCCGTCAAGATGTATCCCCAGGCCACTTTCTGGTCCATGTTCTTCTGTATCGCCGTCGTCATGGCTGGCTTCGATGCCCAAATTATTACCTCCTTTTACGCCCTGCCTGCATTCCAGCACAAGTACGGCGATTGGGTTGGGAATCATTATGAGATTGCCGCGCCCTGGCAGACGGGTCTGGGCATGGGCAATCCCATCGGCCAAGCCGTCGGCGCGCTTGCGAGTAGTTATCCACTGCAATATTTCGGGAGGCGCAAAACGCTTGGCCTCTGCTGCATCTGGTCCATGGGCTTTGTCTTCGTCCAGTTCTTCGCCACGTCTATTGGCATGCTTTGCGCAGGAGAGGTCCTCGGGGGGCTTGCCTACGGATTTTATGTCGTCATCGCGCCTACATATGCCTCTGAAATATGCCCCGTGACTCTCAGAGGCTTTCTCACAACCTCTGTGAATCTGGCTTTCGTCATCGGGCAGTTCATCGCCCAAGGTTGTGCAGCTGGGGTGGAGACAAGGCTGGATGAATGGGCGTACAAGATCCCCTTTGTGAGTTGGTCTTCACATACAGTAACAACAAAGCTGACCAAGTATTGACCGTCTCTTCCAACAGGCTATTCAATGGGTATGGCCTGTTGTGCTGCTAGCTGGGCTTCCCTTTGCCCCAGAAAGTCCATACTGGCTCGTCCGCCGCGGGAGAAGGGAGGATGCTCGCAAGGCGCTGCTAAAACTCACATCTAGCACGCATCGTCCAGATATTGACAAGCTTCTGGTTGGAATAGAGCAAACTGATTTACTGGAACAGGAATACGAAACCGAAACCACCTATTACGACTGCTTCAAAGGGGTGAGCCTTGTCCGGACCGAGATATCCGTCATGGTCTACTTGATTCAAGTCATCGGAGGGAACCCACTAATTGGCTATGCAAACTATTTCTTTGAACAAGCAGGACTGAGTTCCTCGAACGCCTTTAACAGTGAGATGCTCTGTTCTCAATCCACATTATTCTGTTTGCTTGGGTGTTACTAGCTGACAGCAAATATCTCGTAGTGGGCGTTGGTAATACTGCTCTTGGGTTTGCTGGTACGGTGATTTCTTGGCCCTTGATGAATTTCGTAAGCATTCCTTGTACCAACACGTCTCATAGTTTGAGCCGCAGCAAAACTAACTGTGAACCATCAGTTCAAGCTAGGCCGGAGAACTATTTACACTTCGGGAATGGCAGTCATGACCGTTCTCCTCTTTGTGATTGGCTTCCTGAGCATACCGAAGCATAACACCGGTGCTATATGGGTCATGGCATCATTAATGGATATCTGGACGTTTGTGTACCAAATGACCGTTGGGCCGATTTGCTTCGTCGTCATTTCAGAGATCTCTGCGACTCGGTTGCGCGAGCGCACCATAGCCATTGCGACAGCTGTGCAAGCATGCGCCAGCATTGTTTTCACAGATGCCATGCCCTATATGCTCAATTCCAATGAAGCAAATTGGGGAGGGAAGGCCGGGTTCCTTTTCGGAGCCATCAGCATCGTCTGCCTGGTTTGGTGCTACTTTCGCCTACCAGAAAGCCGAAACAGAACCTACGAAGAATTGGACATTCTCTTTCAGCGACGCATTCCGGCTCGCCAATTCAAGAATTATGATCCGTTGGCGGAAGCAGATGCGACTCTGGATAGCACCGAGCGCTTGTAACTGCGCATCGAAGCCGTACGAACCCCAGGCAGGGAGACAAGGGATCATATGTACCCTCACAAGGTGCTGTGCAGAGTGGTTGCTTTGCTGAAATTCCAGACAAGTTTGTCGTATGCTGTTCACAGGCCAGTGTGGCATACGAATTACACCTCGTATAGCGGTCTGGCAGGCGAAGTCTAGTTTGAACATGTCGTGAATAAGATATCTTCAAAAAGATGATTTGTCCAGTCATTGGCTTTAAGAGATTGAGCAGAGGTAACGCCCGCCTCAACCAGAGACAGTTGGATGATGGAATCAGGGGCCTTGACATTGTATGCATTTCTAGTCAGGCTCGTGGGGTGAAATTGCATCTTACAGCCACCAGGGGAGGAGGAAGTGCAACATCTCATCAGTCGATTCATGGCATAAGACGAACGACTTTCTTCATTATTGTAAGATGCCTAGATGGACCTCCATGGCATGGTGGGACCAGACGATTCTAATGTAATCATGGACGGATGTGTTAGCTCTCAACTGGGCCATCAGTGGGTGGATTCTCAAACGTTTGCGTATTATGGCAACACACACTTCCTCTTCGTCTTACGATCCGAATCGGCAATCATCTCCCGCCGGTTCTGCGCCGCGCCACGCTAGACTAGGTTGCAGTAGCCAGGACTGTGTCAAAGCTGACCGATGCTGGCATCGAATAAGATATAGTACTCTAGTAGAAACCCAGCCCTGCTCTTTGTCACATAGCTACTCGGGAGTAGGCGTAGTCTGGGTAGCAATCACGTCCAGGGCTTCCTCTGCTACCATGTAGGAGAACCCCACAATCAACTCGTTTACCCAGAGTGAGCATTCAACGAGAACAGGCGGTTTCGGGACCTGACCGCTATGCAATCAGCATGGCGGAGTTGCTCGTTTTATTTTAATATGAAGCCGGTGCAAGATGGGGCTCCAGTCACGTTTCTTGAATCGAGTCACAATGATGGGCGGCCAAGACCGATTAGGAGCTGTGGGCTCATGAGCAAGGTCTGTTAGTTCTCAGCCAGTGAAGGGTTCAAACTCTGCGGGTTGCGCAGGAAATTGCTCGTGGTGTTCTTGGAGCATGGAAGGGCTCCGGGTGCTTACTCGGCCGTTGAAGACCGTGTGAAGTTGGGGTTGTGCTATTTGTGCGGCAGAAAATCGTTATTCGTGTGGCACTAGACCCGATTCGGACAAGCAGCTTCTAACTACACTCTACTATACATTTTCATATATATCTATATAGAAAAGGCTATAATTTAAAAAGTTAAGCTAGATTTAATTAAAATCTATTAATTTTTTAATAATATAAGCTTAAACGAGTATTAATAGAGCTTAAATCGCTTAAAAGCGTAATTTCTAATATTTTGAATAAATATATATATATTTATAAGCTATTAATTATTTTAGGTTATATTTAAGAGATTATATTATAATTAAACTTTTACTCTTACTCTCGTATTATAGCGCTAGCTTAAAATTACATTTAAAACGGAAAATAACCTAAGATTTAAATTTCTTACACTTAATTACCCTTTATTATAATATTATATTAAGACTATAATAAAGGTAAAGCGAAGAATATATTATTAATAGTTATAAACGTAAAAGAAAGAGAGCTTATATAAAGCTATTATTATTTAAATATTATGTGGAGGAATTTAACCGTATTGTTACGAACCAAGGGTACCTGAAGTAGCTAGCCGGCGTTATAGGCCGCCAGCATACAGATAAGAATAGGGCCGACAGGATCACAGGTTACGTAAGGGGATTAAATGGGATTAGTTTAATTTAACTTAATAGATTAAAGGGGATTAACCTAATCTAGTATAAAGAATTAAATAAAATCTATTTAATCTAGGATTATAATAGTTATAAAGGTAAAACTTATTAAATTAAAGACTTATACGTGTACTTATTCTCTTATACTAATAACGTAGCTATAATTAAATGTATTATTCAACTTTCTTTAACTTATAAGTATAAATACCGCTATATAATACTCTTAACTATTCTATTTTTATCTTAATAAATAGTGCTAGTGCTACACGAATATGCTTATTTAATATATTAATATTTGTGTTATTTTCATTTAAAAATTTATAAAAGAGTACGTTAATATTAAATAGTTTTCTTACTATTTAATTAAACTAAAAGCGATTCGTATTTTAGGATTCGCGTATAAGACTAGAAAGGGATTTTTCGCTTTATAGTATCCCTCTTATCTTTTTAACCCTTTATATAGCTTATAAAAACTGCTTTAAATAGGGTTTATAAGCTAATAGAAAATCCTTTATACTATAACCTTTAAGAATATATGCATTTAGTTTAGCTAGTAATAACTACTATAGTAGTTTAGAGGCGAACTAGCTTAGTATAGCATTTATAAATTCGAGGTTAAGAACGGCTATTATATAAAGGGACTTTAAATCTATAAGGATATTCTAAGGCTAAAGATCGTTAAAAAATAGCTTAAAGGGTCTATTATCGTAAATATAGCACTTATTAACTAAGCGCGAAAATAAATGCCGTGAAATATAATGCTTCTTATCTTACTTAGTAGAGGTAGAGATATTGCGTTAAGTGAAAAGATAAGTTATATTTTCCTAGTAGAGATGCCTAAAGTAGTTGCTAGTAGAAGCGGTAGTAAACTTTTTAATAGGGTAGAAAGCGGCTATTACGAATTCGTTTATACTATAGGTAAGAGGTTATCTAGTAATAGACTATATCTTTAAAGTTATATCTTTTAAGACTACTTTAATTTAAGAAAAGTTAAATTAAAATAATTCACGTAAGATAGTAGTAAGTTACTTAAATATATTATCTAGTAGTTATATATTAACGTTAGAATTAAGATAGAGCTTTATAGAAGAAGCTAAGTCTTTATAAATATTAGATAAATAAACTTTATTAATAAACTTAAAGATAATAAACGGCTTAAAGTGGTAGAGGTTATCGCTAAATAAACCCTAGCTTAATAACTATAGTATAAGAATGCTCGTTCGCTCGTAGAGAAACTTAATAACTTAAACTTTATTAGCTATCTTTTAATCCCTAAATATCATGTATTTAGGTCTAGGAAATTAAAGAATAGCGTTAGCGCCTCTATTATTAAACGCTACTTAGAGGTAGAAGTTAAAGGAGCCCTTAAACCAGTTAATAACCTATCTAGCGTTACGGTCTAGTTAAAAAGCAACGAATAATACAAGTTCGGCGCGGGCACCTAGAACTTGATTTTTCCACTTATTTCACTGGGAATCGCTGGATTTCTCGGCTATCTCGTCAAAAACAATTATACTGACAGCGATGCGACGTTTCGTGGGAAAGCGTGAGGCGAAAGAGTGAGGTGCAAGGCAGCTCAACGTACTGTTTTAGGCACGTGTAACATTGACTCCGCCCTCTTCTAACGAATCAATGTTTGGTGGTGTGTGCCGATCCATGGAGTCGAAACCAGTTGGCCTTATTATAAGTGTAAACCAATATACGTGGAATGAAAGCTTGAACCACGTTGGTTGCTTCAACGCTATAAACCCGCTACTAGACAATTTAAAACATAATATAAAAAGTAACGTAATATAAATATGCTCTTAAAAAGTATAACTATAATATGTAATACTTTACCTTAAGAACAAACTACTTAAAGGCCTAATAAAACTTGTTGCCATTACAATACGCCTTAAAATATAGCTTATTGTTACTTAAAAGGAGTTACACACTGCAAGGCAGTACATTAAGTACTAAAGCGAGGGGTCTAATACTAATTTGAAATGGTATAGCGAGTATATTAACAACTGACTACATGATTATCATGAACACCTAAAGCTGAAGAAGTAATAGAACGAAGAATAATAAAGGAAGAGCACGAGGAGCTCTTGCGCTCCCAGCCACTATCGAGCTAAGCTCCTTACACGCAACGTTCTCCCTAAACTTTAGTTTTGCTAATATACCAGGTTCATGGCAATACAATATAATATAAATCAATGTTCTATTGCGTAACACCATATGTACCACTTGCCAAGAATCCCAGCGAGAGGCACATAAGTCTTTCATAGCAAGATTCCGTTAAAGTCCGCGCTTCTCAAACGCAAATTTTCTCATACTTGTAATCTGTTCGGATGTGAATTCTGTCAAGCATGCGCTATATCTCAAGTTAGCTACCAAAAAAGAAAAAAATTACGATTATAGGATAGATCTCACTCGGCGCCATAGCTCATATAGTTAAAGTCACATCGAGTGCCGCACGGCCTATTACGTTGTGTTAGAATCCCTACAGTTTCGGGTAGTCCGTATAGGTAAACTTACTCATTGCTCAAACCCGTCAGGTTTCGCCAATTTGGTTCGCAGTCTCCGTGCCTGGTAAACTTGGTATGTCCAAGGCCAAGCCAATGGCCAACCTCGTGAACAACTGTCACCCCCCGATTCCACACAGGATGGGGCCCCCCAGGAACGGTATTAGCATTTACAAGGCAGCCATCTGATTTATCCTCGTCATCGCTCATATGGAGGCCCCAGAGGGTAGATGTAACCCCACCAATTGTCTCTTCGTCATTGCAGAAGAAAATGTTGAGCTCCGAGAAATTGCCCCGGTGCAGGCTCTTTGCTAGTGGTCGTCGCAAGAAACGACCCCTTGCAAGCATGTCTCCTTTAGTCCAGTCTACACTTGAAAGCGTAAACGAGATATTGGCCGGCTTGAAGCTCTCGTTGAGAAAATCTAATTGCTTATCCAGAGCAGCACGCTACATGATATTAGCATCAGCGAATTTACCTTGCTGTAAATTAGAGGCTGTGTTTTACTTACATTAACGAGGAATTCGCTTTCATTATTTTTTGGATGTCCCACCACATGCATATGCACGCCGACGTTGATGACTCGTCCGTCATCCACGAGTTCGGGAGGAAAGATCTCATTTATAAGATTTTCAAGGTCGGGATCACGCTCCACACTAGTTTCCTGGTTGGTATCAGCCCAATGAAGGGTATTATGCACCGTGTCGGGCTCTGGACTAGGTTGCCAGTCACAGAATTCTCCAACTCGACCAGGGGCAGCGGCCGTAGTGTCCGGTAGGACCGCTACTAATAGAGCCAAAAAATTGGCTGCCAACGCTGTGACGAGGTGCATTTCGGATTTAGATGGCCGTGAGACTTTCTGCGTGACAAAGAATTCGATATATCCGGACTGCGTTGATGTAGAGGCAACGCTTTATAGGTGTGTATAGGTTTACTTACTGAGAAGCAAAAAGGTGCGAAGAAATAACGTATCTTTTATACAAGCTGCTCAAGTCTTGAGCCCATATAATTTTTTATTAGTAAAACCAGTGTTCCAATAAAATATAACGAGTACTATTCTCTGTGTCTGGCAAAGAATTTGTCGCCACCGCATAGTATAATGTACAGGGTTCTATATAGTACATGTTCTTAAAATGAAATCCATGGCAATAGTCACTTTAGTTATTCTGACTAGAGAGTTCAATCTGCTACATATATACATTTTAGCCGCCTACAAAGCATGTCAAAGATTGCTAAATATTACATATACCTCAAATCCCTATCCTTAGCTCGGATCTTGGCAACTGGCAACTCGTATCCCAATCTTTACAAGACAACCCCTGAATAATTGTTAAAAGGGTATCTAGTAATAATTGATCCCTAATATATCTACTTTATACCGCCTATTAACTTTAAAAGGGTGAGGACAAGGCAGCTATTTTAGCGATACGTAATACGAGAGATAGCGGGAATTTCTTTGACAATAATTCAGGGGTTGTATTGTAAGCGACTGCTTATAAACACCTACCTAGGAGGCACCAGGGGTGTTTTAATAGCTGTGCTGTCATTAACATCATCAGCTATGACAAGACAGCCCGGTAGAATTTTTTTTGGCAAGAAATCAAGCTTTAATAGCTTGTAATAATTTAGGATCTGTCATGTGATAGCTGTACTGTCACCGGAACTAGTAGTCAGCTTAAGAGCCACCTGCGTTATTAAGGCAATAGAATGCTGTGATCTGTCGTATTCTTCAAATGGTCTGGCAAGTCATCAAGAATATCTGACGATTATTTAATAGATTGTCATGGATGTATCCCACTAAGCCGTGGAAAAGGCCAGGGTTTGTCAAATGCGCTGCGAGTCAGCCTATCGCAGGTCTCAGGCCCACCAGACAACAAGCGGAATCTTGAGTAATCAGCATAACGTCGGGTGGAGCAGAGAGCCTTTAATGACAGGGTTGCATATTATTTGTAGCCTAACAAGGCTTTGCATTCAACACAGATATCCGAATATACCGAGTATCAGCCAATACATGACTCAGGACTCAGGTGGCCTGCTTACCTGGACAACGCTGTACTCCTGCCATGCTTTACCAGACTTTATTGGATCCCAGCCGATGTCCGATGAATAACAATATGTGTCTATTTCGAATGCGCAGCGCGGCGAGCGGCCACCACCTTACGCTGTTATAATCTGACATGCATCAGGGACACTCTTAGCAATTGCGGTAAAGGTTCTAGGGTTACTGAGACACTGGATTAAATCCGTGGATTCTATCCCTCGTCTAGTTTCTCACCCTAGGGGGTGCTGGCCTCGACTCCCGTTAAAGACGAAATGAAGGTACCTGTCACACGATTGCACGAGGGCTACGATCACGGGACCTAGTATAATATAATTCTATTATATTAATAGCTAAAATAATATTAACCTATTAATTTATAGAATAATAAGAATAATATTCGCTTTAACTTTAAATACTACTATAAATACTACTTTAGTTTAAAGTCTCTTAAACTTATTTTTAATAATAGAATAGTTACGGCTAAGAATACTATTAAAGCGATTAAAGTTATAGTACTTAAGGAATTTAAAGCGTTTACCTTAATAATATTAAATAAGGCTACCTTATAGTTACTAGACTATTAACCTTAAGATTACTATATTAACCTAGTAGAAGAATAAATACTATTATAGGGACTCTTATATACTATAAGCGTAAGGGAACTTTAAGCCTTACGCTTATAGTTAAATAATATACTATAAATAAAATAAATTTAAAAGTTAATAGTACCTTATAGCGCTCTTATAATATTTATTAATAAAAAGGACCTAAAGAACCCCTTATAACTTATAATGGATTATAAAGGACTTAATAAGGTTATAATACTAGTAAGGTATTTAATCTCACTTATTTAAGAGTTATAGAATTACCTTTAAAGCGCTATTATATTCTTAAAGATTAACTTAAAGTTTAGCTTTAACCTTATTTATATTATAAAGGGTTATAAGTAAAAGATAGCGTTTCGCTATAAATACAGCTTATTTAAGTATATAATTATACTATTTAAACTAATAAACGTATTATTTATATTTTAGGCCTTAATAAACGGTATCTTTTAGAATCTTATTAATATAAGGGTTTTAATATATCTTAATAATATTCTTATTTACGCTAAAATAATAAAAGAATATAAGATAATTATCTAAGAAGTATTAAGACGCTTAACTAAGTATAAGCTTATTATAGCTTTATAGAAATACTATTAAAGAGTACTTAAAGTAAAATTTCTAGGGTATATTATCTTAATAAAAGGTATTTTAATATTCTTTAATAAAACGCGTTATATTATATATAAGACTATAGAAACTACCTTAAAGTATTAAAGATATCTAGAAATTTATTAAATTCGCTAACTTTTATTAACGATTTATTAAAGACTTCTTTAAAGTAATAAGACCGTTAATTAACGCCTAATATAGTTTAAAGAAATAATTATTAACCTTAGAGATATAAGAAGCCTTTAAGCAGCTAAAAATCGTATTTTATTTAGCCTTTATACTCACTTACTTTAATTTAAACCTTCTATTATAAGTTAAGGTAAATACTTTAAATTTTACCTTAAAGGCTATACTATTATAAAAGTATCTTAATAGAAAATAGTACCTTATAGCCTTTTACTTAAGGAAATTATCCCCTATTAAAATAAACTATAAAATATATAATAAAAAGCTTTTAGCTATTATTAATTTCTTTAAATACTAAAGATAATACTTAAAGGGAGCTACCTATTATATTAAAGTATTATTAGATTATTAAAACCTTAATTACTATCCGTGGATTCTATCCCTCGTCTAGTTTCTCACCCTAGGGGGTGCTGGCCTCGACTCCCGTTAAAGACGAAATGAAGGTACCTGTCACACGATTGCACGAGGGCTACGATCACGGGACCTAGGGTAGAAGGCACTTACTAACTTCTTATATTATAGAGACCTTTAATCTCTTAAAAACTTAAAAAGAATTAAGGACCTTAAATACTAAAAACTATTATTGAATAAATTAAGCTATTAACTTTAAGCCCTCCTTAAGCTCTTATTATAGTACTAGTAAGGTGAGTATCGTTCCACATAGGAGAACTACCTATAATTTAAGGTCCTAGATTTTAATAGCTAACCAGTCATTATAACGAGGCTATTATCCTACCCTAAAGCCTTCTATAGTAATGTTATGGTAATATACTAAATATATTTTAATAGAACCTGTTTTAGCATTAAATAGAAAGTTATAAGGGAGTTAAAAAGTAAAACGAAAGAAAACTTTCGCAAGAAGTAGCAAAATGTCAGAGGCTATAGTGAGTGAGAAAGCTAATATATGCATTGACACTTATAAGCTAGAAATCGGGCATATTTGGCCAAGGGCCGCTATTACTGGGTCTTTATGCTCCATGACTCAGTGGTTAAACCCGATACTACTCTGACACAAGGCGGCTGTCTATGTTATGACGACGTGTTTCTAAGGCCCTTTAAATTCTTTGTGACTGGTTTTGGTGTAGGTGGTGTCTTATCTTAGGTACTTCGACCGTTCGCCTTAGCTGTTAGAGAAAAGTAGACCTTCAACCCGACACGTGGGGTTCGGGCCGACTCACATTAATAAACTCTTGAGATATCCACACAAGTCTTACAAATCAAAATCAAAATAATCTTGAGAACCCACGTAACGGTATGCGGTTATTCCAGTTCTTTTCTACGGCGCATACTATAAGGCTGCGACCCAGCTAAAGGAATTATCGTTGCTCGCTGACATTGCCAATGCCACAGCCATTATAGCGGGATAGACCGCTTAGTACAACTGCTATTAACTTGATAGAGGAACCAGATTAACACGCTGGACAGAGAAACTCCACCCGCTGATCTACATAGAGCGAAGTCTACGGCCGAAAACTACTCAGCAAATAATAGCACCGTTAATACCGAGAAGCTATTCTACCTTTATGGGAACAAGACTAATATTTCTTAATCTGGTAAAAGATTCACTAGAATACAAGCGAGATACGTCTTCCACTAAATAGAGGATAATAGTATACCGTGCAAAGAATTTTTCTTTTTTTTTCTTCCTCTTAAAGGCACAATAATTTAACGGACAAGCAGAGATTAAGCACCCGACGCCCTAGTACGAAATGATAAGATGTCACATAATACTAAAGATTTATTAACAGCCTTTCCCTTGGGAGTGAAAGTATTCTTAACTCTTTAAGATAGATAATATTATAGAATAAGTGATATTACCTTAAGCATAGAATTTCTCTGTAGCGGTACCACCGTAACTGTGTAGCCCTATCTTCCTCTCCGAATGCATCCGATACCAGTGCTAGTTCTTGCGCTAATCTACGATATACAGGTTAGATATTGTTACACGGTTAGGACTTAATAAAGCCTAACGCTAATGTAGAACCTATAGGCTTACCTAAACTAAATACACGATACACTTACCACTTATAGTATCTTTATTTCTTTTATATATATATAGTAATTACCGCGCTCTTTATTTCTCTTAGAAAACTAAGAACCTTTAATATTATACTAGATTATCTTTAAATTAAGCTCTTACTTTAAGCTCTTATAATTAAGCTCTTATTATAAATAATCTAATACCCTTAAAGAAAACCCCTTTTTCTAGTTATATAATCTACCCTATAATATCTTAACTTTCTTATACTACTATTACTTAACCCTATAAATAAAGCTTTATAAGAGCTCTCTTAATAATACTAAGAAAAACCCTTAAAGAAGAAAGAGACCTAAAGCGAGAAAGAATTCTTAAATAAGAACGTTTCTTTTAGTTAAAATAATAATAAG